GTAATAAACGGCAAGAAAAAACGTGATCATCACTTTTCTTGCCGTTTTTACGTCTAGTCAGCGTTTCCAAGCGTTATTCACATTAAATAGTCTCTGAAACGGTTATATAAGTCATTTTCTTCTTCGTAAAAGATAGTGAGAAATGTTTATGATCATCTTTTCCAACGAAAAAAGCTGTAAATGCTTAAAGTAGATTAATCTTTTTTTTTGGGACTGGTTCCCATAATTATTTATATTCTCGTGAATTTGTATTTTTTATTCTTTCACAGTACGCGTGAAAGACATTTAGTCCGTTTCGAGCTTCCATTTATCTTTTGATCTGCTGAATTACTTCAAAAAAGTATTCGCTGTAGATTTAATTATGTGAAAAAGAGTTCCTTTGATTAAAGTAAGAATCCGCATAACATTGACATCATATGAATCAAAATCATGTGTTGGCGCGAACATTAGAATATCGAAAAAATAGAGGTTGATTTTATTGATTTAAAGTCTCAATCTTCACATTGAAATCCTAATTTTTTGATTATGCTCAAAGCTCGAAACGTACGATAAATTTTCCTAATATTCTCAAACATAAATTTGCTGCATTAGAGTTTTCATCACAAATTATCAACTCATCAGTATATGTGCTAATTGAAACTCGTTTTATGACAAGCAATACAACATTATTAATTATGAGCTACATAATCCAATTAAAACCTCTAGCCAAGTCAAAAGAGAGTAATATTTTCAGTTAATATATATTCGACAAATGTATGTGGCATAAACAGAACGGATCACATATGCTTAGTAATTGATTGTTAGTCTTAATCAAATTGGAGAGATAGAAAAGCAAAGGAAAGAAAAGAAAAATTTAAGTCAAGAAGTAAAAGAAAAAATTCAGAGAAGAGGAAGGAAAAACGAATAACGTTGGAGAAGGACAAAAGAGAAAATAAATCCGTCCAGCACATTCATTCGATGAAGATTGCTCAATAAGTAAACATTACTTCTGCGAGCGATGTGAATGCACACAAAGATAAGATACATGAATGATATCTGAATTTAATCTAAAATACTATTCAGATTACGAAGAAATTCACACATTTACTCTATACAAATTGTGAATAAGGATTCTCATTGACCGTTGATCGAGCTTAGAAAACATGAGCAAAAAGATTCAGATAACTCTAATAGAAGAAGTCTTCAGAATTGAACGATGTAGAGGATTTAGTTTCACCTTACGTTCTGCGTTAATTTTTGCTTTTTCTTAGGATAGTATTTGTGGAAAACTTTCTTGTCCATTCCATAGAGATAGTTGACAAAATACGATATTCGTAGAAAAAATATATAATATAGAACTTATTTGTCATTTGGTAGCACCACATTCCATAATAAAATCATTAGTGAAACTAAGCTATTTAACATTTTTTTCAATTGATTTCTTAAGATCAATCAGTGTGACGTTTCGTTCTAACTAAGAACATTATCAAACACAAATAAATAGACAGAAGAAGAATATATATAAGAGTAAAATAATGTCATCGTTTTTATTCTATGGTTTTAAGCATTTCAATACACGGGGGAATAAAATTGATCTGTCTGCATTAGAATGTTTAAAACAATAGAATAGAAAAACGACGACATTATTTTACTCATATATATTCTTCTGTCTATTTATTTGTGTTTGATAATGTTCTTAGTTAGAACAAAACGTCACACTGATTGATCTTAATAAATCAGTTGAAAAAAATGTTAAATAGCTTAGTTTCATTAATGATTTCATTTTAGAGCTTGTTATTTTACTGAGTTCGTCGTCGATTGAAACTCTTACGCGAAGAAACTTTAATTTTTTAACTCTTATACCATAAAAAAGAATATAATGCTGAGTATATATTCCGTTTTCAGTATAAATCTTAAAAGAACAACTAGATGATAAATATGTGTAAGTCATAAAGATTACAGTAATCAAATAAAAAACTTAGCTGCTCTATTAACTTTTGTAGCAATAAATTATTTTTTATCTACGACAGACGACTGTTAAAGAACGAGAAAAAAGTCTCAACAATGAATAAATTTTAGAAGTACGTCAATAGTGTTGTTGTTCAATATTTTCTTTTGATAAAATATACCAAAAAATTGACATCGTTTTATCTATGGTATTTTTCCCCTAGAATTTTTCGTTTGTCGTATCAATTCATTAATTCGTCTTAAAAGTCTAAGTTTCATTATCACATACATATCTGATACTAATAAACTAATTTAGATTCTTCTTTCATTATTCATCGAGATTATCATAAATCACAACTTTGTAACTAGTTATATATTTCTCCATAGATATTAGAATAAACTGGACTCCAGAATTCATAACAAAAACTTGAGAGGATTTCGATAGAATATTTATCAGATGTAAGACAAACGCATCATCCTTGAGCGATCGACAAATTTCTAATCACCTACGAAGAGTATAGAAAAAAAGACTTTTAAAAAATGATCGATGTGTCAGAAGAAAGAGTGCAGCCAGGTTTTTGTAATATCTCAACATATTCTAATGAAAAGATCTCATTTTATTCTCAAGAAAACAGAATAGTTAAATTTCTAAAAAGTCAAAATATTTATTTAAAGAAGTGAAAGTTCATACATCTTTAAAACATAAGGCATGAGTAGAAGTCTTGAACAAATATCAATACAAAAAGAAAAGTTTGTAGAAGAGACTTCTATTCATATCTTATGTTTTATAGATGCATGAACTTTCATTTGTTTAAATAAATATTTTGAGTTGTTAGAAATTTAACTTCTTTTTCGAAAACAAAATGAGACCTACTCATTGAAATGCATTGAGATATTGAGAAAAAGTACGAACGTGTATTGTCCATCATCAAATTGATAAAATTAGATAAATGGTTAGGTTACATGTAAGACGAAGATGATTCTGGAATATTAAACTTCTTTTTCAAGTAAAGTATCGTTTACGACAGATAAAATAAAGAAAAATTATGGTTTTAACGTCAACAAATCACTATTTATGACATTTACAATCCGACGTTTAAACGACAAGAACATAATATTACTTTATGACGTAGAAAATCGTTTTTTGTGATAAACGCGTAATTTGGTCAATATATCGTCGTTTAAACGATGTGACATTAAACATCGTTTTAACGGCAGAATAGGGTTTCCTCAACTAACTGGGTAGGGCTCTGATGGTATGGGTTTGGTTCGAGCTTGTATCACTCTTTGAGTTTATCGCGAGCTGTGTCGGATATTTTTCGCTTAGGTGTTGGCTTGGGAAGGTTTTTCGATTGAAGAAGAACATAATGAAGGAGATGATGGTTTGGCTTGCATAAGTGTCGATAGGTTCCGAAGTTGTTGTCTCTTTTCACCTTCATATTTAAGAATGTTAATTAAAGAAGGAGGAAATTGGTTAGGTTGGAAATGTGGTAGAAACATTTACGCTTCAGAAAAATGAACTGAGTGTTGCTGATATACACTAGAATCATAACTTACATGCACCGGATTTCCTTGTATAGACATGTTGGTGGTTGCTTGTATGGGTTATCACTTTCTTGTGCGCGATTCTCTAGGAAGTATCTGCGTCTTCTGGAAGTAGTTCACATTGTTGGAGGAAAAGTTGGTAGATGACTTAAAATTTATCTGAAATGCGGTAGTGGATAAGAAATATATTTGTATGTGGAGAAGAAATGGTGCGGTATAGGTAAAGACGGTTGTATGTGTATTAGAATAGGAAGCTAAAGTAGTTGACATAGGAAATTTTGAAGAATAATCTAGTTTTTACAGTTAACTTAAAAAATGGCTAGAGTCTTGATAGAAGTTTATTGCATATTGTACGTGAGTTCGTGAGGTTTCTACCTCTGGTTTTTGTTAACTTTCAATGGTCGGCGTTCCCTGATGTCGATAGGTGAACAGCCATGTTGCATCATGTGGCGGTGGTGCCGGAATCCTTTGGTATTGGTATACTCGTTCTTGATCCTATTGATCGTTTAAGTCTATTTGCATACGTTTTTCCTCTTGTATTTTTTGGGCAGCATCGCTTTGTCTTAATTGTTCGATTTCATCTTCAACGAGGTGATCTTGTTTCGTTGTTGGAGTGCGTTCAAAATCATTTAGTTGTTTTTGTGTCCAGTTTTTTCTTTCATTCATTTCATTTAGTTTTTCTTGATCCCAATCTGCAACTGTTCTGATTTGTTGTGATTGCTCGATTTCATCTTGCATTTGCATCAGTTGTTCTAGAGCTGCCATGCCTTCCAATACACTTATGTTTTCTTGGTCGCGATAATAAGTTGGGTCGCCAGTTTCTAAGTCATATTGTTCTAACAGCGGCTCAATATACGTGTCATCCATAAAGTAGTCTGAGGAGTCCATGCTCCACAAATCATATTCTCTTCGTCGCTCCCATCGGCTTCGATATTCATAGCGGGGTGAGTAGTCATATTCTTGTTGTTCTCTTTCAGCAAGTCGCTGTTGCCACCGTTGGTATCTTTCCCTTCTTCTTCTTTCTGAACGCCCCTCTTCCCGTTGTTGATTTCTTTGCTGGTGTTGAGATGCTCTAGCTTGGCGTCGTCGTTCAGCGCGGCGTTGGCGCTGTCGTCGTCGAGCTTTTCGTCTTCGAGCTCGAAATTCATCTTCTGTCAGATTCTGATGTATCGTCGTTGGATTAGGAACGTTGGGTACTTGACTAGGAATCATGTTGGTCATATTTAGTTGTATTGATGATTGACTTAGTATCACTAATTCGTCAGTGAGTATTTGATTGAGATCACCTTCACTATTAGTTACCATAGTGATGGATTCGGTTGTTGCAGCACCTATTTGAGTAGATTGGGTACTCATTCAAAAAAATGTTCAGATATAGTATAAGAAATTTTGATAGCCAGGATAAGCTATTCTCACTGAAATAAATAATACTCACATTAAATTGTTTGATGATTTATATACTTCTTTTGAGAGCGCGAACAGGAGGCTAAGTTTAGTAGAGTTGTATAGATTTAGAACAAGAAAGAAATAATCATTGTTTTTTTGAAAGTGAAGAAATTCATCATTAGAAGTAATAATCAAAGTACCGAAAGAAAAACATGAATTCTACAATCGAATAGCAATGAAATATACAAAAAAAAGTCTTCATTTATAAATACAAAGATATTGTTCTAAGTACATAAGTAGGAGAGCAGTTACTCTACTCTTCATTATTAGTTTTTATTCTTCCTGTTGTAGTTGTTGCATGTTTCTAAACTACATTTATTAACATTGCTTTTGGTGGCTTTTTCTTTACGAATAATTGATTTAAATTCTTATTGCTTCTAGTGGCAACTCTTAATCGAATATTGTGCTTGATGGGACAATTATCAATATAATGTTTTTTCCATAGATTTTTCAATTCTCCCTGAAACTTTAACATTGGACCAGTTTCGAAAGTAAAATGAATTAATATGTCGTTATTATTGGAATTTTCGTGTGGATTACCATCAGTTGTGATTATCTCTTGTTGTTGCTCTTGTCTTTCTCGACGTGTTGGTTGATATAATAGCTTTCGATGTAACTCTTTCTAGGCAACTTCATCCAAGGGTGTGGGTGTGGGTGTGGGTGTGGGTGTGGGTGTGGGTGTGGGTGTGGGTGTGGGTGTGT